TTTTCAGGGTTGCCTGGGTTAAAATCTCCTCTGCTGCCTCTGTATTATCTCTCCTCCTGTGGCAAGAGGGCAAATTGCTAATTTTCTGCTACAATCTGCTACTTATTTTCTGCACACCCACGCATCTTCTTGTACTTAAGCTTCCATGTGATTAATCACCTTTAATTGCTATTAAACACACTGAGTCGACAGAGCTTGACCTAGTTTGCATTTGGGGTCCTGCGCGACCTCTTGTGACATCCATGAAGAGCCAAGGACCACTTGCCATGTAGAGATTTAACACTTTGACGATGCCTCTTTACTTTTATTAATATGATTTACAGAGATTAATGCAGACATCCTGTCACAACATAAAACCCTCTGACACAAATCTGGAGAGGCAGACGAGAGCTGGGCGAGTCGCACTATGTAGCTCTTAAATTTCTACTCATCTTTGGTGACTGGAATTGACTTTGGGACGTGAAATTGATTACCATCGCAGTTTAGACACGGTCACGCAGTCCAAAAGGGAGGGTTGGAGATAAAACGTGGTGGGATCTTATTGCCTGTGAGACCGGCGGAGAAGTTGAGAAGACGTCGGAGCAAAGAGCGGAAGTAATAATCTGTAGCCGCATTCATTTAGGAACACATGTACTGTAGAGGGAGGAGAAGCTGTAAAGCATCTGGGATGGATTCCTCGTGGGGTCCGGTATCTTGGAGACCTCTGCTGCTCTGCACAACATCAAGAGGGATTTGGTTGCCATAGCGGCAGGTGGTTCAACTCTGCCTCCATACAGAGAGAAATGTTTCACAAAGATAGAGAGAGCGAGAGCACAGTTTGTCCCAACGTACCGAGACGAGGACATCGATGATGCTGCAGATTAAAAACGTTGAAGAGAAATCCCAGTTGGAAAAAAAGAAAAGATCTTATTAAATGATATAAGCAAGCATGTTTTCAGCTCTGAAATGTAAATGCTGCAGGTGTGGATTTAAGATTTTGTCGCTAAGTAACACGATTCAAGTTTCTTAGTGTTGTTCTTGCCGCATCAACATTAGACAGTGATGCTGAAACAGCTCTGTTGCAAGATCAAACAACCAACAGCTTTGATCAGTTTTGAGGGGATAGCAAGATGTTAAAGTGTGTGTTTGTTGGTGCATTTTTGTGCTTGTATGGGTGAGAGAACGTGTATTTGAATACTGGATGGTTTTGCATGTGGCCAAAGTCAAACCTTAAAGCTGTACTAGCCTTATTTCATAAAAAGATGGATCGATTGACTATGTTTAAAGTGGAAATGGTCACGTTTATTTTGCTGTAACTTGTTGACTAGTTCTCTATAACCCTTGCTTGCACTATGCAACTCTGTCTGCCAACCCTGATCTCTCAAGAAAATTAAGGCTCAGTTTGCAGCACAAAGGAAGTGCGTCAACTAATGCTCCACCAAAACAGGAAGAGGACAGTGCTTTTGTTTTCCCTGGTAGCTATCCCCAGTTACCAAAGAGTATCACTGTAAGTTCTTTGTAGTTACAATCCCCAGTAGTGGAAAGTAACTGTAGAAAACAAAATGCAAAATGTCCTATGTTGTTGGTAGCTGCTACGTTTGGAGGAAAACAGATCCGGATGTTTGCAACAGCTGCACAAGCAATAATAACATTTGAAAATGCTAGGCAGGAAAAGCTGAGAAGTTGTCTGTTTCCCATTTTACAAAAGGAGACAAACCCGAGAGAATCACCACCCGACTCTTCAGTTCCAATCAGCAATCAGCAATTCATGCAATTTAGGGTGCTTTCAGACCTAGAGTTGTCTTGCTTTGGTCTGAATCAGGGACTACTGTTGTTACAAAGTTGTATAATTGCCTAGAGTTAGTTCATGTTCTCACGGCAGCATTTACAAGCGGACCAGATCAAATGCCTTGCCCGAGAAAGCTGCTCTTGATTGGTCAGAATTTCCATGTGGGAAAAATCCAGGAAGTAAAGCAAACGTTGAAGAAGAGTACACTTGCAAGATAAATGTGACACTTTCTAATGTCACAATGGAGGGACAACTACGCAGGTTGATTTTAGCGCTGCTCATCGTGGACTATATTGCTGTCATTGTTCATTTTAGTCAAACCATACAGTTTGAAAACGAGGCGCAGCTCCAACTAGAAAACAGTGTTTTGATGCACTGGATGTGCTGAATGTGCATATTAAGGCAGTACAGGAGGAGGTGCACATTAATAATCCTCCAGGACTGTAACATGCTCATGTTTAACCCAAACAATGTGTCATGTGTTCGGATCCAGGTTGGAAAGTGTTCTCACCACAAACGAACCAAACCAGAGTTCGTTTGTAACTGGACAGAGACCATCTCTTCAAGAAGGTCTCGGCCTGGATGATATGGTGCGCACCCGAGTGTGATCGCTGTGTTCACACCTGCCCAAATGAACCGCACTTAGGGGGCAAACAACTTGAGTTCGATTGAACGGACAAACAGGGCAGGTGTGAAAGCACCCTTAGTGTCTTTCAGCTCATTGTTTTGGTTTCGCAATCCAAAATCTTACTGTGTTGATTCACTCTCATCGCTCTTATTGACTTCCAACTGCAACAGGCAGTTGTTTACAACAAAAAAAATCTAGAAATCCAGTGTACACTACCTGCCTAAGAGTTGGTGGAGGCCAAAACAGAGCTAAAAGGAAGAGGAGTATTGGACCTACATTCATAGGTATCCTAAAAAACACAACTTCAAGGGAATGCTGATGTTGCTCTGTCAGCTGGATCTGTAAATAAGCAACTGTTGGCTAATAACAACTCTATAGGGTGGTAAAATGTGTGTGTGTTTACATCTTGTCGCGCTGCCCTCAAGTGGCCAAAGCAAATGATCTGCTTTAAAGATGCACAGGAAGTATGTGGCATCTGACATACCAAAAACATGTATCTTAAAACTGCAGCATGTGCACACTAGTCATAAAAAGCAGATACAATGCAGGATAATTTGTTATGACTTAATTATGTGAGCCTAACATGAGGCTAGTAAATTTGGAAATGGCCAGATTATTTTGTGAAATCTTGATTACTGATTCCTTGAGGGAAAACCAGATCCTCGTCTGTGCTGTGAAAGATCTTAAAAACATGAAAGTATGCAAACATGTTTCACACGTAGAGGATCCTCTGTCTGCCAAAAAATGTTTTGACTATTTAAAACTAGTGTTGACTCAACTGAATGATTAATTGAGAAGCTGATGTTAGCCCGTCCAGTTTCTGAAATGTGAGAAATTGCTGTTTTTTTCTTTATTTAGAGCACTGTATATGCTAATATTTGAGGGTTCTGGACAGATACAACAGGGTCTTTGAAAACGTCACCTTGGGTTTTGGAAATTGAGAGGCTTTAATTTTAAAAAATGTAGGTGCAGCCCTACTTAAGACAACAAAACCTTATATTCCAGGTCATTTCAATGCCAATCACATTTTAACAGCCAGTAACGTGAGAAAATCTAGGGAGTGACCAATCAGATTTCAGCAGAAGCCACCATTGTGCCACCACTTTGGCTCCAGTTTCTACAGTCTATGTGCATTATGCATCAGTGACACATGAGAATCTACAGTATGTCCGCAGGATATGGAAAACAGTTTCATCTTCCCCCTGACAACATGTGAGGAACACCCTGAAGCTCTGAAAGATGCCCATCTTCGACGCTGCCAGCTCCGAACTCTCCGCCATCTGTTAACAGTTCTGCAGGCAGCAGCTTCAGATAACAGGTCAGAAATAAACAGGTGCACGACAGAAGCCAGAAAGAGGGCGACACGCTGCATTTTTGGCACTAATATCTCTGGTACCATCGATTGGTTTCTAAAAATGCTCCTTCAAGCTTTTTCCCCGGCAGTTTGGATCCAAGAAAGATGAAGCAGCAACTTCTCAGGTGATAGCAATTTGATGTGAGCAAAATGAACAACCTCCCTCTGATTTTTCCATCAATTTTACAATTGCCTCATACATCTGAGGTGATGCACCATCTTCACCACCATCTACAGGTGATGATTGGACTAGAGGCCGGTTAAATGGCCATTTTGGAGACATACAAGACCAATTTTAACTGTAAATGACAGCTTATCATCAGGTGTGTGTGAGTTGAGTTTCTTGTGCACAAAAACTCAATACATTCACCACATTTTGGTTTTTCTAACGGAAACCAGGCAACACCATCACTACACATCACCCTCCCTCTGTGAGTGTGGGTGTATGAGTGAGTATTGGAGAGCGTCTATATCCAGCTCCACATCCTCCCTCGACACTGGGAGCTGAGATTGTGGAGGTGAAGCTGCAGAGGCGTAGATAAACTCAGCTCTGCACCTCCCTGCCCACAACAACTCAGCTTCCAAAATAGCATCTCAGTCCACACTCTCACATGGCCTGCATCTGTGCTTCACTGCTGGCTCTCATTAAAGCATAGCTCCAATATTAGCCGTGCCTAATGATCTCTAGGGGCGCCTGTTGAGCTGTCAACCACAAAGGGGAGTGGGACATATATTTAGAGTGAAGGAATCTGCTGTATGGAAGCTCTGGAGACAAATGGTCAAGAGCTGAAATCATGCCAGAATCACTGTGCGACTCCAGATCATCATTTTAAGGAGATCTGGAAGCACTTTCCGGTTTATTAAGGAGGCCCTGCTCCTGGTTGTCCACTCGTGAACAGAATTTCAAATAGATAGCTTTGCGCACCAAAGACAGCAGAGTTTGGAGACGTGCACATTTCATTAAGCTGGCTGAAATGTGAGCTGGAGGTGTGTCAGTAAGGAAAACTCACCCACTTATTCTATAGTGCATTGTAAAGCATTCACTTAAATTCAATGTGACAGAGCAAACATTCCCACAGCTCTGTACATCCGCTGGATGCTAAGCAGAACTGACAAGATAGCGCAAATTCAAGGCAGACTTGTTGCTCAGCTCAGAGAATGATGAATCATAAACGCTTCGCACACACACATACAGAGAAAAGACGCACAGCAAATAAAGATTTAACCGCTTGATGTTTTTACGCACTTACCTTGTGCAGTTTCCACATTGCGCCCAAAGCTTTGACTTCATGTGTGCCGTGTTTGCCTTCCTCCAAACACTGATAACACACCGGCATCTTACACTGTACACAGTACATGCTTAGATTCTCCAGTTCGTGCTCCGTGCAAGTGGAGATTTTGCGTGGACTGGCGCGGCGACTTATCCGTCCCTGCGCCGGCGGCACCAGGCGATGCTTGGCGAGGGGACCGCGGGGAGGATGGCACCGGAGGCGGCACGGGTCGCAGTAGAAGACGTCGCACTGCTCGCACATCACGGTTGCCTCCTTCGGACTCTTCTCGCACAGCTGACACTTGAGAGCAGCCGCTTTGCTCTGCTGATACCTGTCCACCACCCCCTCCAGCACCCGGTTCTTGGGGAATCCGCGGAGCCCCCGGTCGTCCAGGATGAGGCTGCGGTGACACTGCGGGCATGTGATGCAGGAGTTGCGGGGGATCGGGGGTAGAGAGCCGGGCTGCGGTAGCAGGTGCTGTTGCGGTGGAGGCTGGGGGACAGACGGGGGGAAAACCCGCACCCCGTTTGGTGATTTTTGGCAAGGGGTGGTGGGAGCGCTGACGAAGCCCCCGTAGGAGCCGTATCCACTGTCCGCCTCACTGTACAAACTCATTTTATCCAAATCCAGGTAATCATAGTCGGAGACGCCGGATCCGGAGGCTCGGCTGCTCTGTGGGGACTCAGCGTCGGGGGTCTGCACAAGAATATTCCGAGCACACGCCAGGCAAATGTTGTGGGAGCACGGCAGGATGATGGGCTCCCGGAAAAAAGAGCCGCAAACAGGGCATTTTAACTCTTCCTCCATTTCATCCATGGCTGCTTGTGTTTGGTGAGAGATTCCTCAGTGGTGTGCAAACAGGAGAAGTTACAGCAGCTGATCACTCTGCTGCGCTGTCTGTGCGTTAGTGGAGCTCCAGTCGCGTCCTACTGCGATTACTGCAAGTGCAACCTTGACCAGAGGAAAGGCATCAGCAGCGAGGAGGCAGACTAACCGATACGACACACTCCTCACCAATAGGCAACCAGCATCAGCTCAGACTGGTTAACCATTGGATAACCAGTGGATTCCACACAACCATTGGGTAACTCAACTGTCAGTGTGGAGAGGGTCCGTTAATGAGCTTTACCCCGAGATGCAACAACAGATACCACTGTCTGTACACACTGCTGAACATGTACCTAACTGTTCAGGGGATTATAAGGAAAACAATGTGAGACATCTTTTAAATGCGGTTATAATAGCTCATTTATGTCTCTATGAAGAAAACCAAATCACAGACAATAGTGTGTTGTTTTAGAAGATGCTCTCTTAAGCCGATTAGTCTGCTGATGGAACCTACTTAAGAAAGAGCAGACCAGGAACTCAAGATGACCGCACAGAGACACAAAAATACCTCAAATAGACAAAAAACAACCACCGGAAAACACAACATGACTACATACTGACACAAAATGACCTGAAAGAGACACAAAATAACCACAAAGAGACACAACATGACTACACAGCGACACAAAATAACAAAAAAGACACAAAATGACTACAAAGTGACACAAAATTACCTTTAAAGTGACAAAAAAATGAACTCAGAGTGACACAAAAGACCTCAAAGAGACAAAAAAACAACCACAGAGACACACAAAATGACAAAAAGAGACAAATTTAACTAGAGCTACTGTTCTCTGTAGCGTTGTATTTGTATGATGTTGTGATAGTGGGACGTATTTGTGAGTATGTACTGTCATGTATAGAATATTGTGATTTATGTGGGGAGCCGAATGAATAAATTGAAATATTATTGGATTATTTTTTACTGGTACATTAATGTGTAAGCAGCATTTGAACCGATTTATTTTAGTTCATTTAATGTACCATATTTTATAGGTTCACACGTTTTCTGCCAATTTTTAATCAGCAAAGTGACTTGATCTACAGTAGAGGTGCAACTTTATTTTGTATTTATTTTGTATTAGTATTGATTAATCAATTGATTGTTTTGTCGGTGAAATGTAAAAACAATAATGGAAACTGACCATCACATGCTCAAAACCCAGTATGACGTCTTCAAATTTCTTTCGTGCAACGATCAACAAGACAAAAAACCAAATAATAACTTTAAATGTGATATTTAAGAGATAAAAGCAGCAATATTTGAGATATTTGAAAAGCTGGAGCCAGTAATGTTTGACATTTTAGTTTGATTAATGAACTAATGATTTACATATTTTCAAAATTGTTAACTTTTTACCAACAGCAGGGGTGGGAATCAAGAACTGGTTCAAAATCCTTCAACCCATTGGAATCATACACCTCTGAATTTATCAGTTATTTTTATCAGTGGCAGCACATTTTGCATTGCAAAACACTGTTGTGCATTGCAAAACTCATGCGTCTATGCTGCTGGAAACATGCAACAAGGACTCATGATGGACCAGGAGACACGTCTAAAGAGTGGCTTCATTTCACGCTGAAAGACGACAACAGTGCGTCTTGTAACATCTGTAAAATGATCTTAAAGGTCCAATAAGAGCAGAAACACCAGCAACATGTAGAAACATCCACACTCATGAGTGCCACCTCTTCCAAACTGAACAGCTCGTCTGTTAATGAGGGTAAATATCCTGTAATAATAACACGAGCACCACGCAGGCAGGCTTAACAGATTTCGTCTTTGACTAAGAAAACCTAAATGAAAACAAATGCTGTGCAAATATTCGCTCATTTCATCTACACTGTGTTCACACTCAGAGATAATAAGACAGCTGTGTTGGTGCTGAAAACCTTTTTTCCCAACACAGAAAATTGATCAGGAATCAGTAAGGGAATCGATAAGGAATTGGACAAATAAAGAGAATCAATAATGGCACTGATAGCAATAAAATCTTATCAATTCCCATCCCTTGTCAACAGTGACAATTGATCATATAACTCAGCATTTAAGCAAGCTGTCAAATGGGGTGTCAGTAGCTCAGTCCATAAGGACTTGGGTTTGGAACCGGAGGGTCGCTGGTTGAAGTCCAAAGGACCAAATATGGAGTGTGGACTGGTAGCTGGAGAGGATCTGTTCACCTCCTGGGCACTGCTGAGGTGCCCTGAGCAAGGCACCAAACCCCCAACTGCCCAAGGCACTTGTCCATGGGCAGCCCCCTCGCTCTGACATCTCTCCCTAATGCTTGTACACATCCTGTTTGTGCATGTGTGTGTATTTCAGGCCTGTGTGTATATGACAACATAAAGTATATTAATAAAGTATTTCTTCATTCTGAATAAATAAAGTGACATATTTCTGTCTGAAATATGTAAAGTAAAAGGCATCAGTCACCCAAACTGTACTTCGTTCCTTTCCACATCTTATTTTTGTGACTGACAGCAACAAGACAAACTATCTAAAGATTTCCTAAGCCAGGATCTGCATAATAAAACCCACGCAGCTTTGCACGGCGGCTGCAGCGTATAAACTCGCAGGATTCGGGGCTGTTTGTTATTTGAAAAGCTTCTCCTCTCAGCTGCTGAGGGAGCAAAGATCACTCCTGGAGGAGATTGAAAACATGGAAACTGACACCTTGCGAGATAAGATAAAGCGGCAGCTCTCAAAAGAGGTTTTTCTTTCGGTATCCAGAGCCTCTCCATTTCTATGGCCAAATACCTCAGTCATCTCCGAGACATCCATGACAACATGAGCTCCCGTTTTTTTTTAGTCCTCAGGGAGGCTGTTGATGGGTAAATTAAATGAAATAATCCCATTTTACGGGACGCTTTCTCAGACCCACAAAGGGCAACGTGGGGCCACTCAGTGTGATTACATTTGCATATTTTGTGAAGCAGTTTGAGAATGAAAAGAGCATTAAAATGGACGTCTTTGTCTAATAAAGACAGCCACTCAGGAATGTGTCCAACGCATCAGATTGTAGCCTAACTGATAAACATATCAAAGACATGTAAATACAGATTGGTAATAGTGTTAATTCAATTCAAATACACACACAGAAATCAAAACATGACATGTATTTCCATGAAAGTTTATATATCACTCATCTGTAAACTGGAATTATACTCTTGATTTTCACTTCTGTTACACTATTAAAGCTCTTTAATGTCTGTCAGCGCCTTCTGTGCTGATAATGCTTCTGCTCATAATTCATAAGGTTTAGGAAAATATACAACAAATGGCAAGTTTATCCATGTAAATATTTCCCCGGATTTCACCAAATACACCGTTGATCCAAACCAAATGTTTGTAACAAGACCATCACCTCGGCTATTTTTGGATGCGTGCTTGCTGACGCCTCCAGCATGATGACATTGTTCTCTGTGTAATCTCCTCAGTTTGGGGCCACACTGCATCTTTCCTGTTCGCCGCCTTCGAGTAGAAAAGTGGCCAATTCTTCTGCATCTTCATCTTTTTCATCTTTTTGTGTCAGTGCCAACTCTCTCCTGCTGCCAGGACAGACACACCAGGCGGCTCCGGGAGAAAATCTTCAGATTTCTTTTTTACTTTTCGGAGATCACATCCCAGAATGCTCCCAAAGTCTGTGCTTAAAGCTGCTGTTTATCAGTGACCTCGTGTGCACTCACGTAGGAGAGGCATCATGAGGACAAATGCAAAACAGCTGCTGATTAACGGGCTGGTGACAAGGCAACAGTATCAGCAAAGAAAGTTAAATTAAAGGCAATGTGACATGTTTCGCCAACTTCTGCCTACACAAAATGACTTTACAAATGATTTCACAGTCCCAGATTTCCAAGGTCTGAATACTTGCTGAAAGTTTTGCCTCAGTTCATGTGTGTCCCCGTGATCTCGATCATTTAGTGTAAGTGGTCATAGAACTTAGTCAGTCTTTTTTGTGTCTTGCCATTCCAATAAAGTCAAACATATTTAATATTATCACAAGTTTTTAGTCTTGGCTCATGCAAATACTTGTTAGTTAAGTTAGATGACATCAACACTGTCAACAACCAATAGCTGCACTGTCTCCTTCACCAAACAAGAAGCAGCAAACCGTGGAGACAGTAGACATTAAGGGGGCTCTGGGGAGGCGTAAAAAGGTCAACAAGCCTGTGTTCTCTTGCACTGTGGAAAAAGAGGAGTAACTGTGTGTGGAGTTGTGGAGTGAACAAGAGTGTTTGTCTGTGTTTTATCTGTGTCTCCTCCCAATAAAGTAGTGCAGCTAACTAACAGAAGCTGGTAGCAAATCGAGGCGCCAAAATCCAAAAAGTAAAGTTTGTATGCAGATACAGATTGAGTTATGTGTTTTTGCTGACACGCAAGGACTTGGTAATATGTCATATTTCTTTTGGGGAGTTTGGCGTAATATTTTCCACCAGGAGCAGGATGGGAAATCATCTAAAAAAGAATCTAGTTACAGACTTGCAAATAGTGACCCTGCAATATCCCTATGCAAAATGCTATAGGTTAGGCTATGACTAAAAAACACATGCTGTGTTCAGATGTGAGAGGGTGTCAGACTTTAGTCTTTTAAAAGTATTTTTAAAGTCTTCTAGTGCAGTGGTTCCCAACTGGTGGGTTGTGGTCCAAAAGTGGGTCACCGGTCCATTCTGAATTGACCCCCAAGTGTCTCACAATCTTGTCAAGTTTGTAAAAAACACTTTATTTTGAAGTACAGTGAATCTCCGGCACAGAGCTTTCATTTTGAAGTGCTATTTCCTGTTGTAGAGTGAGAGACGAATGGACAGCTATTTAACAGAGACAGCTGACTAGCTTGATGACAAGGCAAAAGGCAAGTAGGATGCTGAATTTATCAAACTGTGTGGACCTTGAACTAATGACTAACAAGAAATCTGGACCCCGCGGTTAAACCAGTTGGGAACATCAGTACATCACTATCAATTTTAATGTTACAAGAGAAAGGACTTACAGGATGTGTCTGTGTATGTTACCAGGAGTATCTGGGGTGTAAACTTCCCTATTTCCAACAAAGAGTAGACTAGCAATACTAATGTTTT